GTCAAAAGATTGCCAACAGGGGAAGTCTCCAGGCCAGTCAAACAGAGAAAAACCAATTTCTTCGACAACAGACACTGAGTAAAATACATCCCACACATATTTATTTTATAAAGACTTGCTAATTAGATACCAGCTGCTTGAAAACCGATAGAGAATTCCCCAGGCGGAAGCTGCTCAAAATGAGAAAGACTTTTGGACACCACATTAATTTGAGAGACAAGGGCAGATCTGCCTTACGTCTGAATTCCAATATTCAGCATCAACAAGGAATTCTTAAAAGCAGCCAGTGGAACTCAGGACAATTTTCAGTCTCCTTTTGAAGCTAATGAAATGCTCCGGTCAGAAACTGTAAAAGAGAGCTTTCAACTTTCTTGTACTGTCAGCCGCATCCCTATCCACCAACCTTTTCCCACTCCAATTTATCTTTTCTGCAAATATTTTGTTAAGGAGGCTTGTGGGGTGTGTGTGTGTGTGTGTGTGTGTGTGTGTGTGTGTGTGTGTGTCTTTGGAAAGCGTTGCATATGAATATAGACTCAAGAACTTTAGATTGTATTTTTCTACTTCAAGAAGACAGAAATTTCAGAACCTATATTGGAGCTAGGCAGACTCCAGCCTGATGTACCACCAACACATTGTCGATGAATCATCCAAGTTTGTGCCCAAAGCAAAAAATGTGCCAGTAGAAAACACACTTGTTTTAAATTGGGTCGGCTGAAGATGACCTGAACTTGAAGCTGGGATGAGACAACAGTATGATGAGGTTCTGTCCTTAAAAAATATTTAGTGGAGCATCTACATGTCATGGTTAAATGTGAAGCTGAGCCCTTTGAGATAATATTTTGATGCTTTCTAGGGCAATCCAAAGACTGGCTGGTAGAAATGGGAAAAGATTAAAGAGGAATAAATTTTAATTTCATTCCCACTCTTGCTCAGCCCAAAGGCAGGGTGCCGTTAAAATGTGTGACAGATGAAAACTCATTTGATGGATGCTAATCACACATATTGACATCTAAGAACAGCAAATTCACCCAAAGAAAAAGATGTTTGTTTTCCAAAGCAGGTGCAGTGATTGTGTTTTATTTTTGCAATTCTATTCATGTGCTGAGGATTTTAGACCGGCTCCTGCAGGATTAATTAGGCTTCTTCCTTCTTTTAAATGATACTTTAACTTTTAACAAACAATATGTGGTAACATAAATCCAAGATGCAAATAGAGAAAAAAAAATCAGAAAATACAAAAGAGATCTACTGCAATGAAGGTAAAGAGACAGGTACTGTACACATGGAAATTTGCCATATATACATAAAGTATGTCAAATTTTAACCTATTGCTATTGATGTAAACCAGGGCTGTCAAACTCACAGCCCGCGGGCCGGATGTGTCACGCACTGGCCACACCCACGCCTGGTTTAGTGAAGGGGGAAAAGTCGTGATACATCACATGACACCACTGTGATGATGCGAGTTTGACACCCTGACATAAACCATAAAATCCATCCAAATTTGATAAAATTGCGGTTTCTGCCTCTCTTGTCTCACTAATTTAACTTTTGTCTGTGATAGGGCGGCATACAAATTTTATAAATTTTTTATAAAATAAATATAATCTCTTTTAATTGGTCTTTTAATTGTTTAATGCACATTTTATAATCCATATTGAGAAGTGAGATGGGCCTATAAAATGCCAAATCATAGGAATTTTCACCTAATTTAAGGATCAAACTCCCAAACATTTAATTACACTAATACCTTAGACATAATTTTACCTAAATTGTTTTATTTAAATCTTTACTCTTATTTAACTCCCTCTTCTCCCTTCCTCCAAATCTAAGAATTCAAAATGAATAATGCAGTCAATATAATTTCTTTTATTCCTCAACAAAATACAATCTACTTAATCTTCAATTGCTCTCCATAGTTCCAAGGACAAGTCCTAGATTGCTTCCTTCATCCCTTGTTAGAGAGCTCTGCAAAGATGTTGTGCATCTCAAGTCAAAATAAAAATAAACTTTTGTCCTTGTGGCATAAAGACAATTAACTTGAATGGGAATCCCCACATGTATCAAATCTTATTTTGTGCAAGTTTTTTCTGTCGTTTTGAATTCCTTTCTTCGCTGCAATGTAGCTATGTATCTTGGAAAAATAATATTATCTCATGGCCCTATTTAATCTCCTCTAATTCATGTGATTTTATTTTTTAGATTTGAATTTACAAATCTCACCAAAATGTGTCTAGATTTCTGGGTGTTCCTAGGAGGGTCAAACCCAGTGAGCAAGTTCAATAACTCTATCCTTAACTTCAAATCAAAGATCAGGTCATTAATTTTAGAGAAAAGATAAGTAGTCAAATTGGTCATTGCAGTTTTCTCTGCTTTCATCCTTAAGTTATCTCCTGCTACGATTCAATAAATCTGCCAAGTCAATCTTTATTTCAGAAATACTCTTTTGCGCCTTATCTATCTCTAATGTATTGATTGCAGCCATATCGTAAGCTTTATTGGCAATAACCTGACCTGTATCTGCTATTTGCTGTGACATTTTCTTAAATTGTTTATTCATTTGCTCAGGCATACCTACAATAAGTCTTTAGTTATTCACACAGCATGTTTATCCTACTCTGCCTTCTATTCTTTGTTTTATTAATTGTCCGATTACCACCATATTGGATGTCTGTCCATGTCGGTGGAAAGCGCTTCCTTCCTCCATTGCTTCTTCTTTATTGCTGGGAAGAGGCTCCTCAACCTCTTTCGGATTTCCAAATAAGCTTTGATTCCCTTGGCTTTGAGCAGATTCTCCTTAAGATTCTCCTTAAATCGTTTTATTATCTGAAAATATTTAATAAGGTAAACTGGCAATAGTAAAGAAAATAGCTGACCTGGGGCAAGAGCAGAGAACACAGCACAGCCTCCTTATCTTTAATTAGTTATATGAGCCGTAGGGGCGCAGTGGTTGGAATGCAGTATTGCAGGCTAACTCTGCTGACTGTCAGCAGTTTGATCTTGATCGGCTCAAGGTTGACTCAGCCTTCCATCCTTCTGAGGTGGGTAAAATGAGGACCCAGATTGTTCGGGGCAAGATGCTGACTCTGTAAACCGCATAGAGAGGGCTGTAAAGAGCTATAAAGCAGTATATAAGTCTAAGTGCTATTGCTATATCCCTCCATCAGGCTTCTTCTTAGAGGTAGCATAACTAATCAAAAGAAGCTTCAAATAGTGACCAGGTCTGATCATAAAGAATTCTGCTCCATACAAAGACGCATTTCTCCTTTTCACCCCATGTCAGATTCTTTTCTTCTTCTTTTAGGCACTGGGTGCCAGCAAATGTTATTACATATTACTTCAATATGCAAGAATCTTTTGTCTCAAAAAAAAAAAAAAAAAGCAGTTTGTGCACAACTGCACAACAAAAACTTCATTTACATTTAGAGTAAAAGCAGATAAAGCAGGTTTCTTGCTGTTCAAAGGAGATGGCCCTGCTGGATGACAATGGGAGTAAAAAAAACCACATTATTTTTATTTTCTGCTTTGTCCCTAACTATGGCATTTTATTTCCACATGCTGTAAGATGTAAAGCCAAGAGCCAGTTATTTGAAAATTATTCCTCCCAAAATAAACAGATCTACAGCAGGTGGATGCAGTGAAAATTATTTTGATTGACAGTTGGAGGACATAGAGTTTTTCAGAATACATCAAACTGCCAGTTTATAGGTCTTGCTGTACAAAACCAGACTTTTATAACAGGGAAAGAAGAGGCCTACCTCTGTGTATTGCTTCCACTTTGGTCACCTATTTTTGCTTTATTTGATTGTAATTTTGTTTTTATGACAATTTAAATAATAATAATAATAATAATAATAATAGTTAGCCATCTTGAATGCTTTAGAAGGCCTGGATATATTTTGAAAAATATATAAAAACTACTACTGCTATTACAAGATTCTCTACAAAGAAACAGGGACATATAAAATATAAATATTTTAATTATAGAAAGTTTTTTTTTGAAAAAGTAGGTAATATTCAAAACGCTTTGGGGGTTGGTATAGTCTATCTTTCAAGTTCTCAGTACGGGTAGTTCTTGACTTATCATCACTCGCTTAGTGACCATTCAAAGATATAATGGATGTATCTGGGGGGTGGGTACTTATCCAGATTCAAAGTTCTGAAGGTTGTTCCTATGGTCACGACTGTATTTCGGGAACTTGGCAACCAGGCCAGATTCATGGCCAAGCAACATCCCTTAGTCACATGACTGTATTTTACAAAGGTTTTCCCCAAAAAACGGCATTTATTTCTGAGTTTTGGCACAACCAAACCTATGGCAAACCATTGGTTCACTTAATGACTGTGACGTACACTGAATGATTGCTGCAAAAAAGATTCTCCTGAAATAGGCATACCCATAGAATAATCCATACATGGATTATTAAACCTCCATTAAGTATTAAATTTCCCATGATATTCCATCTTTAAGCAATTTTTTTTAAAAAAAATCAAGGGTTATTTAACACTTTATTGAAGAAGTTTTATTTAACACTCAGAAAGTAGTTTTTAAAAATATAGCAAGTGTTTTACAAGTGTTTAGAATAAAAGAATTCTTCTAAGAGGGAATTTCAACCCAATTTTACAGACAGGATTCTAAAGAGAAAGAGAATTGCTCCTCCAGAGCTTTCCAGAGACGTGACAGTTCTCAAGAACTGATCAAGAATGATTGACTGGACCATGGCAATTGCAAAATATTCTGATTTCACAAGCTTCAGTGGAACAATAAGGGTGAAATGTTGACAATTGCCCCTAAAGTCTTCTTCCTCAAATCTGGTATCTCCAACTCCCCTACTTTTGGAGGTGGCTCTTTGCCCACGTGATCTTTGAAGTGAGGGGGGGAAAAATGGCCACCAGCTCCAGCACTACTTTGATTTCAGATTTACACTCCAGTTCCTCAATAAATCTACCACAGTGTTTTAATCCCTCAGACAGAAATAATGTGTGAGCCACAAAAGGGGAAAGTAGAAACTGTTTATTTCCATCATAAAGATGCCTTTTAATATTTCAACATAAATCAAGCTGTGGTTTATGATTATAATAAATTTACCAGGAAGAAAACCAACAACACTTCATTTGTTGCCCAAGACTGTGGAATGATTTGATTTGCTCCGTTTTTCAGTTCGAGAAAATGTAATTGAGATGGGTGAGGTACAGTTGTTTTAATTGAGTTTTCAGAGAGTACCTACTGCTGCTGGAAGCAGGAGGCTAATACAGAATGAGAAGGCGCGCGCACACACACACACACACACGCACACAAACATCTCTGTGAGCTGCTGCCATGAGGCTGCCCTTCTTTGCTTCTGGCTATAGAAACCAATTCTAGATTTCCCCTAACCCCTGGAGGAAAAGGCCAGACACCACAGATGCATAATGTTTTGGAAAAATAATTACCCCTAGGGACAAATCAAGGACACAGAGCAGCAAAGAGCCATAAGGGAGAACTTTTGCATTAGAATAATCAATTAAAAATATCTCCCATGTTAAAACAAGTGGAGAAGATCTCAGCTGCTCATACTCACTCAAGGTATGTTCTGGATTTCCCTATCCTGTTCCCTGCAGTCCTTGATTATGGGATCAATGAAGAATACGCAAGAACAGAAATAATCCTATTTCACATTTCTAGCTCTTCTTCTGAAACTTTTAAAATATAAGTTACAATTATTACGGGAATTGGATCGCACTGCCACTTGCTTATTGATGGCATTTGGACAGTCACTCCAGCCCTACGAAGGAACCCTCCAAACTGGGAGACTAATGGAGGGCACTATTATTAGGCCCATGGAAAAATCTGGGTCCCATTCATGCAGAAAGCAAGCCATGTTTCTCTAGAGCAGGGGTGGCTGGGGAATTCTGGGAGTTGACATCCAAAGATTTTAAAGTTACCCAGGTTGGATACACCTGATCTAGAGAGTTGTTCTGAAATCAGGAAACAATTACTACCATGTTGTGTTTTACAACCTTCAAAGTAGCATTTGGGGCAGCTAATGTTGGTTGAAAATACATTTAATACAACATGGAACTGGGAAGGAGCTGCCAGGGGAAATCCCGCAAAGCATACCAGTGGCAGTAGCTGTGAACTTACCACTAACAATGCATTTAAGTAAATGATAGAAAATGAGTGCATTTGAAGCCTGTGGTTTCCTCTTTTCAAGAAGGAAAAATGAGGTTGTTTAACAGAAGACAGTGGCAGGAACTCTGCTTTTGCTGAAATCCAGTCCTTCTTGCCTGCTTCTAGAATCGAGCGATGGCAAACCTTATCTTCAGAGAAGCTTCTTCTGAGCTGAGTGTCGAGGATGAAGGTCAAAACAAAGGGGGAAGAGAAGAAAACCTTGTGAAGATTCGAGAGGGGTACGTGCATGAAATGAGTAACCCTCTCTCCAGAAGAAAAAAGAAATAAAACATATGGAAAATTCTTTTAGGTGAAATAGGGTATTTTTTTATCTTTCAGATCATTCAAGGCCTGAAGATTAAGCAGTAATAGCCAAAATGTGCACTCTCATCATGTATAGGTGATTCCTAAGGCAAAGGAGATTTTGTTACTAAAATACTAGCAGTCGTCCTATCTTTGCTAGTATTTTATTATTCCGAGGATAGATTGGAGCAGCACCTGACAGCTCTTGACATGACTCTCTGTGATCTCTCTTCTGCTGCTTAGGAAGGTTTACGGCAATTGCAGGCAAGAATGACAGAAATGAACAACGCTAAATCTATGTACTTGTTGGGTTAGGAGATTTCCTATTTCAACGGGGGGGTGGATATGTTTTTTAAACAAAACTATTTTCATTCTCCCTGAACCGGGATGGAAATCTGACTCTTATGGGTTCAGTCGTTAAGAGCTCCCCGCAATCTGATGTCCGAAAACCAGCCTTATCCATTTGCAAGTTTTGCAGGTTGTGTACGTGATTCTCTGATGCACCATAAGGGCTGCCAAGAACAGCCTGACATCGAGAGGGTGCTGTCATCAGGTCTTGATGTGCCTGCAGCAAACGTCCCTAGCTGCCAAGCCTAACCTTATGCAATCTAGCAAAGACACAGTCTTCTTTTGGAGACAGCTGAGTTTCACTGAAGAAAAGATACTGTCTATATTTTTTTTTAAGCACAGCCACTGCCAATCTCTGTAACAAAAGCAATTTGGGCTTTTAAAAAAATCATTCTACTTAATAATTCTTTAAAAAAAAAAATCCTAACACCACCGAATTTATCAACTAACCTTGGTGAACATCAAATTTAATATCACGGGTACAACCAGCCTGGAGAAGAGCAGCATCATCCACCTGTTTGGAAGATGGAATTTAATAACAGAAAAAGCACTTTCAACACATTTATAGCCAAAGGAAAGAAAAAATAATACTTTCCTTATACGGATAACTTTGTGAGTAGTGACCCAAACTCCTCTTGTGACTTTGTATCAACAGCAGTTGAAGAAATATTCCTTCTTAGCAAAGCCTTATGGTCCCAACTAGAAGAAACTGAAATACAGTATTTTGTCCATCATGTATCCAGTTGGATGTAGATATTGGATTTAAGATCCAAATACTGTAATATGTGATGGATATTGGGAGTTCTCTTTCAAACTTCCCCACCTCATTTTTTTTTCAGAAGGCTTAGTTGTCATATAATAGCCTGATTCAAGAGAAAAAGAGAATAACACTATGCCTAGAATACTGCATCCAGTTCTGGGCATTGCATTTTAGTGTTGACTTTGACAAACTGATATTTACTTATTTAGTTTGGTTCACACAGCTCTGCCTCCAAAAACAGCAACTAAGATGATAAGGAACCTGGAAGGAAAAAGTTGAGTAGATAGATAACCTGGAGAAGAGAAGACTGCAGGGAGTTGTCTTTAAGTAGCTGAATGACTGTCATGTAGAAGGGGAATTGTTTCTATTTATTTATTCATTAAACAAATTTATATGGCCGTCCATCTCACAGGAAGTGATGCTAGGTAGGGTACAGCATTGTTCAAAGTTATTTCAGAAGATAGAATGGCAAACAATGGAAGGAATTAGTAATGGGTTGTCTGAAATTCCTTATAGTAGGAGCTGCTCAACAATGGAACAGATTCCTTCAGATGATGACTGACTTCACAAGAGGTGTTTACACAGTGTGGAATCATGCCCTGGGATGGCATTGGACTCAACACTCTCTAAAGTCTCCTTCAACCTTTACATTTTATGATGTGATCATCAGTTTAAGGAGAGAGAGAAATGAGACTGGACTGGAGTTCATGAGTTAGCAAGAATCAGGAGGCATCGTTTGCAATATTCTGATAGAAGATGGAATGGCTGCCAGAACAAGTCTCTTTCCACTTTCTATAGTCCCTCCCCACCCCTAAATTTAGACAATTCTTTAAATAGATTTAGTCATAACATACTGCATTAAGACAATTATCAGCTGCTCTCCACTTTTATCAAAGTAGTCCTTCAGTAAGTAATCAACATTTTCACATCCATACAGAAAGCACAGGGCCTGCCCTACTGCTGTGACACTAGCATGATTCCGTTAGCAGTATAAAGAAAAAAACAAAGCATTATACTGGGAAACATTCCTTATTACTTATTAAGAGTATTAAGAGATGGCTTTGTAACAACCAAGTGTATATAATTCATGATAGGACTTCCTGCTCAGACCCATATTGTATATAAACAATTGAGGAGGGAAATATCAGAGATAAAATAGCAACAAAGCTTAAAGCTTGGCAAGTTTCAGTCTCAGGACTGCATTATATGAAACAAGGCAATATGGAAAGGCGTTGGAAAGGCTGAAAAACAAATGGGGAAAACAATCAAAGCAGGACTAGGGGAGAAGGGGAAGTAGTGGGGCTCCTCTACCCATTCCAGAGTGCTTAGGTTGCCACATACATCATGCAATATTAAGTTATGAAACCAAGTTCCATCAGTTGCTTTCATTTTGCTCCTAATATTCAATGCATTGGCAGGATAGAAAGCCACTTCAAAGAAATATGAATGATTACGGAAGCAGATCTTAGTAAGTCAGATCTTGCTTGAGTCATTGGCTATTGGCTTGACTACTAAAGTAAAACTTTTAGTAAAACTGGTCTTTTCCATCATGTGAGGGATTAGATGCATATCCAACAGTCTCTGACATCTTCTGATAGAGAAGAAAATACCCTGCTTAAAAAGTCATAGCAGCCTGATGTAGGATAGAGTCCAATTTGTGCATGAAATGGAAAATCAGAATCTGAAAGGTAGCTGAACAAGTAGCAAGGTGCCTCAAATGAGCATCAAGCTCAATATTGTATTAGTAGTTTAAAAGTAGTTTAATCTTAAATTAGCTTAAAAATATCCTTATTAGGTGCATTGCTCCATCAGTTTTTTGTTTCACTCAAAATGATATTTGCAGTCACAAACAAAAAACAAAAAAGTCCCCAGAGCAGCACAAACCCAATCCAGAAGGTGTGCCGGAAAGGGGACAAATGTTTATTGAGTGCGCTATTTCTAAAGGTCATTTGTGTTTCTTTCCGACTATAGTATGCTAAAAAAGCAGGAATGATGTACTGGATCCCATTTCCAGCATAGGCGCCAGTGATTCCTACCAAGGATTCCAGATCATGAGTACAGAAAGCCACAATAATTGGAGGAATTAGTGTGATGACTGGGAAAAAAATCCTGTCCACGACCCATGGGTAGGTTCCCCCTTCCCGGTGGAAGAGAGTTTTCCAATTATTTCTTAGAGTCACAGCAATTATAGGAAAGTTTGTACTGATGGTGAAGACAGGGAAGAGTCCCAGGAAGTAGCGGATAAACGCAATGCTGACAATGTCACAGTTTGTGAAGTTGAGTGTGTACATGTCCATTAGAGTCCCATTGCGGAAACAATAGATAGCAGTGAAAGACAGAAGGCTGTAGAAACCCAGGATCAAGACGTAATCCAGCAGGACTAGCTTGTTAACATGCTTCTTCTTAGAGATGGGAGTGATGAGGGATGGCAGGGAGTGCTGACACATGAAGGAATAAACGCAGACTCCAAAGAGATTCCGTACTCCTGAGAGCTGAGCCAGAGGGGGGTGACCTTCCCCTTGACCTTTGGCGATGCGTAGGAGGGCCACAATGATCATGATGATGAATGCTGAAACAAAAAGGGGGAAGGGAAGGGAAGGGAAGAAGAGAAAAGGAACAGAGTTAAGTCAGAGATGTAGGCAGGATCCTAACTTTTGGAACTTTTCCCCTCTAATCTTTGCTGGATCTTTCCTAGTCTATAGCTGAAGGGACAAGGAAAAAATGCTCATCTGGTTAAAGCTGCTCCATGAATAGAATAGAATAACAGAGTTGAAAGGGACCTTGGAGATCTTCTAGTCCAACCCCCTGCTCAGGCAGGAAACCCTATACTATTTCTGACAAATGGTTGTCCAATCTCTTCTTAAAAACTTCCAGTGTTGGAGCATTCACAACTTCTGGAAGAAAGTCATTCCTCTGATGAATTGTTCCAACTGTCAGGAAATTTCTCCTTAGTTCTAGGTTTCTCTCCTGGATTAGTTTCCATCCATTGCTTCTTGTCTTGCCTTCGGGTGCTTTGGAGAATAGGTTGATTCCCCTCTTCTTTGTGGCAACCCGAGATATTGGAAAACTGCTCTCATGTCACCCCTAGTTCTTCTTTTCATCAAACTAGACATACCCAATTCCCGTTCTTTGTATGTTTTAGCTTCCAGTCCCCTAATCCTCTTTGTTGCTCTTCTCTGCACTCTTTCTAGAGTCTCAACATCTTTTTTAGGAGTTATGAGTCATGAGGAGTTATCAGTACATAAACAACCCACCTGATTGTACTGAAGATTGAAAAAGGGTTATATAAGGCTCTGTTTAGACGCTTCTAAATACTACTATTTTTTTTTTCTCAGGAGCCCCTACTTCACCTTTGAATTGTACATGAATGTACACGGTCCCTTTATTTGAGGGTTCTTGTCTCGTTGGTGCTAATAAAGTTGCATGAAAGAAAACTTCTTAACATAAGCATATACCACTTCGGATGAAAGGTCATTTGAAAAATGCCTCTGGCAGCGCAAGAGTACATGCCCTGTGGTTCAGGGCAGCATTTGTTAAATTTTTAAAAAACTGACAGGACAGGAATTCTTGCAAATGGAATAAAGAAATCACCAGCATTGTTCTGAATCAACAAGAGTCAAATTTGCTGCCTCTGGCTAACTACAATCACAACAAACTTGGGTAAGTTATCATTTATTGTGCGTTTTATTTTCTACTATTTTTCTCTTTCTTTTTTGCATAAAAATGCATACACCTTAGAAGATGTACCACTGTAGTTTATTGTTTCATAATAAAATATTTCACTCTAAGGAACTAGCTCCCCCTCAGCTCCCACCTGGATTCTTTCAGTACTGATTTTCATCATGTTCGCCCAATGTGAGCAGACTTCTGTCTTACAGAATTTACTTTTTTTCTTCATGAGAATTTCAAGACCTACCAATTGTAGGGACAAGGTGGCTCAACTCAAAATACCACAAATAGAATTAAGGTGCAGTGAGTTACTGAACATAGACATTAGGCTCTGGATTTGATTTCAATAATGTGTGAGCTTTCACAAAAATCCATTTCTGATTACTGCCTCCCCAACCTTCTGTTAGTCACCTGGTTTAGTTAATGTAGCAAACCTAAGGAAATCAAATAAGACTACAGTATTTTCAAAGTTTGCTCTCCATCATCTGTATGTTGGAGGCAAGGTATTTACTCCACACTTCAAAGTGGTTCATTGTTTCAAGATCACAAAGGCATCCCATATAACCCAGGTCAAACCCACCTCTATAAAAATCTTAACTGTAAACAAAACTTAAAGCTAATTTTCTTAGGATTCATAATGACATGTTTCCAATAACTGTTAATAGTGTTTAGAGTCACTTTTAACCCGAAGACTCCATTTTCTTTTTTTTTAAAAAAACAATCAAACTGCAAAATATAAATAGGGCTGTTGCTGTTTTGAATCTGTTTTGAATCTGCAGATGAAATGTACTACAGGTCATAAGTTACTTCAAAACAGCAGAGAACCCAGTAAATAGCTCAAAATATGAAAGCTGAAATTAAAGACTGAGTTCTATAACTTGTGCAGAAAAATTAATAAGAGTCAACAACACAGAACACAGACATAAAAAAAACCTAGCTGGCACAAATTCCTAGCTATACTTATCTACCTGTTTCTAAAAACAAAAATAAAAAACAACAAAAAACAGAAGCTTCCGAATGTAAATATTCTGCCACTTCAATTACTGCTTCAACTTCTGCAGCTTCTTGGAGAGGCTCCTGGGGGCATAAAAACTCTGTTCCTTATCCAACAAGTTTGTTATAAAAAAACTAAACATGTCTTTATCCAACAGAGAAAGCAGTTGGGTATCTGGCACTGAATACTGTATTTGACAAAGGGCTATTTCACAGTTGCAGACTGTGAATCTTTAAGTCTGCATTCTGGCATGCAGACTATATTCATAATATTCCATTTTATTTTACTTCTACTACAGCCCAAAAGCAGAGTAACAAGGAGCAGATGTCTGTGCCTGCAAGGGGAAAGTGTCCAAATACCAGCTTCTTCATGCTGGTACCTCATCAGGAACCACAGAATTGTGTCCTTAATTTGAAAATTACTCTGCAATATTTGTATAATTTATGAATGGAAAAATCTGCCTGTCCAACCAGATCTGATAGGGTGGGCCCACTTCATGTCCTTTCCTTTAAATGTTGTCACTTCATGGGACTAAGATTGTGTACCTTCTCCACAGCAGCCCCTGTTCTGTGGAATATCCTTCCCCCTCAGATCCAGCAGGCTCTTACACTCTTCGCATTCTAGAAGTCTAAAAAGCTGGTTCTTCCCAGGAGTATTGGGGTACAGTGAGGCTACAGTCCATTGGAACTTTGGTGGTCTGTTGCCTTTGGAGAGCCAGGATTCCTTCTCTTTTCTTAACCCGAGTTAATATCTACTAGCTACTTCTTCCCTTGTTTTAATTCTGTACAAGGCACAAACTATACTTAGTGGGGGTTTTTTTGCTGTTACTTCCACAAGGATTCCATGTTACACCACAGACAATGTTCATATGAAATAAAATAATGCCTTCCTCCAATAAAGTAATTTTGGTTTGCACCAGAAAAGGTATCTTTCGCAATGGTTCAGTAAAATATAAAATAAGAAAAGCTAAATTAGAATTCCTCAGCTCCCATTTTTTCTTATAAACTGAGTGGTCTTTGGTGCTTTCTGAACTTGCTTGCGCAAGCAAGCTCAGAGAGCACCAAGGATCCCTCATGTCAACCCTGAGCTACAAATATTCTTCTTTATTAGTTCTTACAAACTGCTATAACATCATTTCATTACAGAAGGAAGATTGAATCCTGGTTTTCATTTTCCAAATCCAACTGTCTATCCATGGGATCATAAAGTTTTTGGGAATATATTATGTTAACATATTCTACATGGAGAAAACAGCTTTTTCTGTTTTGGAGATTTTTTCCCCCCTTTGTTGAAGAAAGCAGCCTTAAAGCTCAACCTGTAACAGTTACAAGTCTCTTATTGTTTCTAAAGACAATTATGTACAAAAGCTCTAAATCACCACCGGAAAGGTACAAAGCTCTTCAAATTATCTAGAACTCTCACAAAGACATAAAATATTATCAGTAAGGCAGCAAGAATTGCAAGCTCACACATCCTGACAGGAATAGGACAGTAGGCGCAATACCAAATGGTAGCTTCAAAGAAAGATCAAGTAAGACAAGTTAGTCTTTTCAGAAAATGCAAGTGGAAAATATCTAAGTCTTTATTTGGAGAAGAGAGTTTGATTTATGGTACATAGTCCCATATACACTGCTGGAATTTAATTATATTTAACCATAAGACCTCTGTACCTCTTCTGCTGCTGGAGAGTGAAACAATATATCTCTACTCTTTCTGTTCATTCAAGGGTGAAGATCTGACCTATATCCTCCCAAAGTTCCCTTTATCAGGTAGAGACTGTTCACTATTTCCCATAATAGTAGCATGTGAGTATCAGTGGTTGCCCCAGCAAACACAATCTTTCCAAACCCTTTGGTTTAAAGTCACCTAGCAACTTTATACAGTAGTGGCCAAAATTGTGGAAACCTTTTGGGAAAGGTGTATTTTTGAGGTTTCATGGCTAATAACACCACTTTTTTTTGGGGGGGGGGGAGTTTCAAGATAATCATATTCCACTGTTGGAATGGCCTGGGAATAGCCCAGACCTTAACCCAATTGAAAATCTATGGAGCCGACTAAAGAAACTTGTTAGTCAGAAGCGACCCAGCAATAAAACCCAGTTAATAGAAGCAATCATTCAATCTTGGTTTCACAATATAACAGCTGCAGAACTAAAAGACTTGGTTCACTCCATGGGAAAACGTCGTAAGGCCATAATTCATGCTTAATACCCAACTAAGTATTAACTGGTGTGATATTTTTTGTATATTTGGTTTTTGTCTATGATGATAATTTTTGTATATCTTGTTTTTTCTACTTTTCTTCTTTATACTGTAACTGCTATTCTAATAGTAAAACCTTCATAAAAGTTATTGCATTACATTCTTGATTAAATTATCTTTCCATTGATATATAATTTTATGGTACTACTCCCGCCAAAAAGTGGAGTTATTAGCTAATTTTAGAAAATACACTTTTCCCAAAAGGTTTCCACAATTTTGGCCACTACTATATATAGCATTCTCAAGGTCACTTTCAGGAGGCAAGTCACCAATCACTCAGGTCTAGCTTGAACTCACCAGTTTGGGAATAATTCTGATGTCCACTTTGTATCATTTGAATTTTTTTTTTTTTTAAAGAGAGAATGCATTATTTCTGTGCTGGAAAGGCAGGGCGAGGCTTAGAGACCACAGGCAACAGTGAATTAATACTTTACAGAATCTATAGAGTTAGAAGAGGCAATTCACGCCATCAAGTCCAAATCTTTGCCATATGTGGAAAGCTGTATAAAGATATCTGTGACTGTAGCTGTCCTTTGTCCAGCCTCTACTGAACAAATCCAGTGACAAATTGGTTCCACTATCTAAATGCTTCTTCTGTTAGAAAAACGTTCATACCATTTACAATACCTGGAATCTGCCTTCATA